CAGAAGGCCAGCTTTTGATGCACATATATAACTAAGGTTTCATGTATCTCTGCCTCTTGATTTATGCTAGCTGTTGGCATTAATGATCCGTATTCGAATTCCTGGTTGTCCTGGAATTCAAAACTTGCTGTTGGGTTTTATTGTTTCAGTACTAGGATTGAAGCGGGGACCAAGCGAAAAGCACAAATTCTCTTAACATTTTCAAGCTTATTAGATGTTTGATGCGCTGAAGATTTATTTGGCTTTGTTTTTTTCGTTGGATTAATTTGAAAACTTTTCAATCACCAGGAGCTCGCAGTTGCAGTTGGCCGGAAAGGAGATGGACGGAGTGCGTGCAAAGTGCATACCAAGGAAGCTTAAAACTTAATAATCAAAGAAAGAAGACAACATCGACACAGACGACACCAGTGCAAGACAAAGCTATAATCAAGCAATAAGCAGAAGAGAAAATGTGTAGATCAAAATTAGCTCTTGGTAAATTAGTGATCTGAACTGTAGTAGTTTATAGTTTCGTAACAAGCAGTGAGAACCGAATGACGAGCGCAATCTTTGTGGCAAACGTGTTGAAAGCATCGGCAGAGTGAGCCCTCGCAATGACAGGAACTGTAGGGTTGGGCGATTGGGAATCTTGGAAGTGGCCTTTGTTTAAGGGTTTAAATTGTCTACTTTCAGTTTGGAGCATTTGGTGCCCGTGGGAGTGGCTAAGTGGGTTCATTTTTCTCTTAGTTTCGGTGCATTGGCATTAACATCAGTCGTTTTAGGCCCTTTCTGACTCTAATTTAGTTTGATCTTGGAACTGAATTTCATATTACATGTTAATCGATATCATCTGCTTTGGACTTTGATGCCATTGTTGCTACATTTGCTTTGCAAATTTTTACTAAAAATCTGGTGTTCACAGTGCTTGCTAGGGTGTCTTGTAATTGAGGTGAGTATGGACTAAGGTTCAAGAAATTACCGGTTCCGGGTTAGGTTCAAATTCAATTAAGCTCCGTTTTGAAAATAGGAGCTCAATTAGAAATTTTTAAAAAATGAAGTACTTAAACTCAATAAGATTTAACTCATTTATTTTCTCATGCTTGGCTTCATTATTTATGCAACATCGAGATTGAACTGAGGATTTGAATATAATTAAAAATAAAAAAGTTAAATAAATTATTAAAATCAAGCAATCGTTAGAATATTTGAATTCAATTTGTTTAACGACTCAAGCTACATTCAATGATAAAAGAACCAAAATTAATTTATTAAAAGTAAAGGAAAAAAACTGAAATCAAATTATGAACATAAAATGTGTAATTTATACCAAATTATTAGCGCAGGAGTGGAGGCATGATATCAATTTGGCAACAAGTCATGTCATTGCTAGCAAAACATTTAAAAACCCAAGTTGAATCGTTGGGCTGAAGTCTCAAATCAGCAATTTTTTGGCCCATTAGGTCAGTCACCAAATTTAATTAGCCGAATTGGTGACTATGGTTTTTATTTTACAACAAAAAGCTACAGGGCAAACTCGTCACTCGAAAAATATTTTTAAACGTTCCTATGTAAGTGGACCCATGTGGAATATATTTCTAGGAACTCGACACGTCAACGTGGCGAGTTTGGTGAAAAACATTTTTTTTTAAATTCAGTAATTAATCTAAAATTTATAAAATTTAAAAAAATTTTAAAACTGTCACGTTGAGCTGATGAGTTCTTTTGAAATTTAAAATAAATTAGTCGTTTTTAGTCGTTGGGCAACGGACAACAACAACAGTCAGAAGCAACGAACATATTAGAACTCGTCATATCGATGTGGCGAGTTCCATGGGATTTTTGGAAAATTTAATTGTTTATAGTCGTTGGATTTGGGGTTATAAATAAGAGTTTGTGTTTAAGTTTTTTATTGTGTATTGTTAAGAAGAAAATTTAGTATTTTTTTTGAAGAATTCCTAAAAATGTCTACTCCAGATGAAATATTAAGCATTGATGATGTTCATATTTCTTCGCTCGTACTCACTCTGGAATAAAAACGTGGCATTCGTCAACGAGGAATGATACTTAGAGATCCGAATCAATGGATTATTATATATCTACAACAACTCGAACTATATTCAACCACATTTCTTCATGGTTTTAAAGTAAACTCGACATTGATTTTGGCGTTGATGGAATGTTGGAGGCCCGAAATGTATACTTTTCATTTTTCGAGTGGTGAAGCGGCAATTACGTTGGAAGATGTCGCTTACCAACTTAGTGTTTCGATTAATGGCGCAACACTAGTGATGCAAAACAATTACAATCGAACTATTATTGTTGAGTAAGCTTTGGGAAAGATGCCACCATTAGAGGTCTTAGACGAGATGCGAATACGAATAACTTGGCTAGAATTCGAATTTCATGTGACTGATGACTCTACCGAGGATGAGGTCAAATTTGCAAACTGAGCGTATCTTCTCCAATTGATTGGAGGGATATTTTTATCGGATAAATCCAAAAATTTGGCGCACACTCAGTACCTTCCGATATTAAATGTTTTTATTAAGTGTCGTAACACTAGTTGGGGCTCGATGATTTTGACATTTTTATTCCGGGAACTTTGCAACGCAACAATCGTTAAAAGGGGTCAAAAAGTCGATGTAGGAGTTGTCTAATATTGCTACAGTCTTAGGTGTGGTACTCGTTCTCTTTTTGTTACACCAATTACAACAACTCCAGTTGGGTTTCCTTTGACTGTAAGGTAATTTTTTTAGTAAACTTTTAAATTTATTTTTTATCCTTATTTTTTTTATTATTTAGATGACGACATAACTTACCAAGATTAAGTTGTGGGGTGTAAATAAAACTGATATACGAACGAGGATCGATATCATTGGTCGATATACTATAAATATTATTTTAGTAATTTACTTAATTTTTTATTTATTTATAATTTATATTAACTTTTATAATTTAATTAATGTTTAAAATTTTGTTGGCTTTCATATTGTGAATATGAGATCTACCGGTTACAGCCATCGAAATTTTTTGAAGGCTCGAAGTTATGGTATGACGAAATGCCTTGGCTTCATTTTGCGATTGTTGAGATGCATGATGCAGATAGAGTGTTGCGCTAGTTTGTGTCCCATCAACAAATTCCTACACAAATATTCGATGGACGCGCTCCATTGAATTGATACACGTGGGAAGTAGAAAGGGAATTGGCTAATGAAGCACGCTACATACATTCAACAATGGAATGAGTTGACATTTATCTGTCCTTATGCGTTTTTAGAGTACAACTGCTGACCTTGATTTCGATATTTATCCCTACCTCCAAAATTATGAAGCAACTTGGAAACCATATTTAACAACACCAGAAGAGGAGGAACAATGGGAAGAAATGAGGGCCAAATACGCAAAGGGCAAGAAATCATCATCATTGACATCTTCGTCTTCGTCTTCTACTTCTGCTTCTATCGAATATTTTGCATCTCAGACCAATTATGGTTTTTATCCTCCATATCATGCTTCAATGGAGAGTAAGGCAAATTGGGTTGGAGATTCATGGGATGCAATGAAAAGTGCTCAAACATCTTCGATAGAACATGCAAGTGAATGAGATCATATTATATATAGTCAATATTGTACATATTTCAGCGGCCAATTCGAGTTAATGGCGATGGCGTCAAATACCTTAAATATTTCATCACCGTATTTCGAAGGCGAATCTCAAAGTGGTGTGATGTTCAATACACTTCATGTTGAAGAAGTTAACAAAGATGAAGACAATCAAGGCAGACGACCAAGACAAAATCGATGAGTCCCACACTATTATTATTCGACCACTTTTCGACATCGTAGAGAATTGAAAATATATAAGTAATTTTTTATGGATTGTATTAGTTTATAATAGCTTTTATTATTTTTTGTAATAAATTATTTTGTATTAAATTATTTTTTAAATGAAATTCGATGAAACTCGTTATGTCTATGTGATGAGTTTTAACAGTTATATATTTTTTTTAAATTTAAAAGCTATCCATTGACTGAATATTAGTTTTGTTTTAAATTCCAGAGGGACTCGTCATGTGATGAGTTCTAATTTTTTTAATAATTTTTATATTAATTATTGAATTTAAAAAATATTATTTTTTACCGGACTCCTCACATTGATATGACGAGTTCCTAGAAAAATATTATAATATTAATCCACATGGGACCTACTTACCTAAGACCATTAAAATTTATTTATTTTGATAAACTCGTAACTTCGATAGGATGAGTTTACCCCCACACTATACCTTTTTGCCGTAGTTTGCAAAATAAAAACCATGGTGGCATATTGGGCTAATTAAAGCGTGGCCTAATGGGGGAAACCCAAATCAACATGCTTAGTCGGGCCGTAGTGATGTACGATATTTTTGACCAATGTGTCGAGTCCTTCATCCAAACTGTAGTTACATTATGAAATCCCTGGAAAGGCAAGACATAATGATGTGACCAGAAACATAAACTAAAATCATAATACTTTCCTTCAATTCTGAGTCTCTATTATGCACAACATCTGGATGCTTTGCGAGCAAAAGAGAAACATTATTAAAACTCCGTAACACAATGTACTGTGTCGATAGTTTTAATACGAGGAATTGAATGGAGAATCGATCTTAGAATTAGTATCAACTAAAACTTTTAACAAATATTTTATCATTTAAACTTGTTTTAATCCAAAAAAATTCGCAGTTAGATTTGGCTGATTGGTAGTAGTAAGCAAATATACTTTGTTTCATTGCGTGTCAAATAAAATTTGTTTTGTTAAAGCATATACAGAATGACCAAACTAACCACGAAAACTACATTTGGATTCTGACCATTCATAACTGAATTTCACCTCATTTACCACTTCATGAACCTTTAGACCAGGTGGGGTTTTAGTCATTTAATAGCAAATTGGCCTTCCAAATATTCATTTAAGGTCGCGTATACATAGAAGACCAAGGCATGTTATATATATACTTGATTTTTAGAGAGTCTCTCCAAAAGCCGTGCACAAAGCCCTCTCTTTGCTTCCCAGGGAAAATCTGAACATGTTTTTGTAGGTTTTATAAAGAAGAGAAGGTTGTCTCCGTTCGAATATCCATTTCGTTTGTGTGTTGGCACATTGTCTTGGAACAAAACCACTTTCAAAGTTCTTTACTTCCCTGTGGATTTTCTCATCAGGTAACACATGGAAAACTGTCTACCTCCTCGTTTCTTTTCCTATTATTTCGTCAAAGTCACCATTGAACAAAAGGCTACTCGGTGTCCTTCTATAGTTATTTGTTTATTACTTGTCACTGCTCCTTTCATGATCCTATTATTTCTGTTTCTCATATGGTTCATGATATATGATATGGTGTTGTCGTTAATGGGTTTTTCTCTTCTTGATGAATTCTAACATAGTTATTGTAATTCTTGTTTTGTTGGAGTTAGTGGGTTTTGCTTTTGGATTCAATTGGGTGCCTTTTCTGAGCTGATGGGTCCTGTAAGAGGGTCAAAGAAGAAAAGGAAGACGGAGAAGAAACCTGACGAAAATGCTTCTGCCTCTTCAGAAATGGAAGGGTCTGTTGATTGGTGGGATGGACTTTCCAGGAGGATGAATGGTAAGTTTTCTTCAACAGTTTTACTATATAAGATTCTGGAACTTTTGTTCCGTTTTTATTAACCTTGTTTTGAACCCTTCTATTTTCGTGGTGGTGTATTGGTATTTGCTTTAGCTGACAGTTCATGGCACTGCAGATATGTAAACTTAACATTTGATAGATTTTCAGTTCATGCCTGGGTTCCAGGTTTGGAAAATTTGACTGGCTCTACAATTCATATCATGTTCAAGTTAGATATGAATACATAGAGAAAATGCATTTGGGACCATATATGCAGGACCCCTAGTCGGACTTTCAAGCCGTTCTGTTAACCTAGCACTCTTTTTCTTTATGTTATTTGAATGGGGGAAGAGGACAAGATTCTCCTTTTTCTTAATGGCATGATACATTTAAAATTGGAAATTGCGGCATTTAGTAGAATTCAAGGAAATGATATGTTTAGACGATGCTGTTGTTTGTTTTTACTCTGGCCTTTTCATTATTGAATATGATAATCATTTGAACTTCAGATTGCTTTAGTTGTTAATATATAGTTAATGCAGTTGAAAAACTGATTCTAATCTTACATTTGTAGTGATTGAATTTACTTTGAGCTAAGGTTTCTGTGTGAAATTAATGGGGGACCCTGCTAGTGAGAGATGTAGTTGTAAATAAAAGGACCTTGTTGCTTTGTTCTAGATAACTTCTAGTCTGTGAAAGTTATTGTAGCTAATTTGAGTATACATTTATAAGTTGAGAGTATTAGCCGATGTACAATAGATCTTTTGAATATTGTTCCTGTTCTGCCAGAAACATGCCCTTGACAAAATGAAGCATGTAGTTCTTATTTCTACATTCATTATTGGTTTTGATTGAAAATGATACAGAGAAAGGTAAGCTGGAGCCATAATCTCATGGACATGAAAAGTTTTTGATAAGATCAAACTGGTTATCCTCCAAAACAACAAAGGTTTCAACTGGTCTAAACTAATGCTTAACTGTTCTGATAAATGCGTTTCTTCTTGATAAGAAATTGCCAGTATTCAAAATTATGACAACCTTGAAATATCTGTCGAAAGCAGGAAATACTGCTGCTGTGAGCCTATGATTTTGGCATTCATTATATTGAATTATTTTAAGTAAAATGTTACCAATGAAATACACAATTAATTATTATGGGTGGCAGCGGACCAAGATCCATGGTGCTCGCATCATTTATCTTTTGGTTTTTAAGAAATAGGATGATTTCCCATGGCCATTAGGTTAGGTCATTAATTTCCAGTCCATTGTTAGAGTACTACCTTCTTACTATTCTTGTATCTGTTTCCCTTGCTTTCTTTGACTTGCTGCTAACTTCTATTGCTTGGTTTATCTTGTATTTAGTTGCTTAATAACTTGTGATTCTTCATGTATGACATTGAAATTCAATGCATCATTCAAGGGCACCTCTGTGGTAGTTACTTCGAATATGTAGAGAAAATGACTGATAATTACTTAGAATATGTTAAAAGAATACCTGACAACCTTATGTTTTTGTTATCAGCATGTTTGATTGATTGGAATTTATTATTTCTCCCATCTTCAAGATATATGCAGTATGATATCTTTTGATTGTTTTTGGCTACAGTTCACAATTCCATAGATCATATGGACTAGTATCACTTAAGAAACCATGGGGTTTGTCAATTAGGAGAGATTAAGAAAGAAAACATTTGATAAAATAGTTAAGGGCTCGAGGCAAGTCAAAATAAAAGTATTCTTTGATTGCAAATTCATTGCAAATTAAGCTAACGTGTTATTCTCTAACCTATCTGACAGAGTTTTCGAATCAAATTCATCATGTTCATCTCCCTTTTTTCATGAGCCTTCTTTTCTCGGGCCCATCTGAATTGTCTTTACAATGATAACTAATAGCAGAATGTATTAATCTTGTTTAATCAAAGCTTCTGGGTTAGTACTAGCAGCTGAAAACCATGCATACGTCCATCAAGAATGTTATGCTGTTCATACATCAACGAAATCTATTTTCTGAAACCTCTTGGTTTCTACCAACCCTAGCTGTACTTGTCACAAATCAGACTCAATCGATGCTGTCATTCTTCAACTTGCGTTCATTATTTTATTGTTTAATGTTACAATTACAAGTACAATTATTTATGCATGTCTAATCAATATTTTCCATTCATATGGTTATATATTGTTCTAGAACTTGGAGCAGTAATACTGAAAAAATAATGTTTCATACATGGAGCTGTAAACACTGCTTTCTTATTATCGATTTGTTTTCTTCGCAGGCCTTCAATCTCCATCTAAAGGTCTTGATAAGTTCAAATCAGTTTTCAGAATTTCCAGGAAAACTTTCAGCTACATATGTTCGCTTGTGAAGGAAGACATGACGGCTAAGCCAGGAAGTTTCACATTTTCGAATGGAAAACCTTTGTCTTTCGAGGATCAAGTAGCTGTAGCTTTGAGAAGGCTAAGTTCTGGTGAATCACTAGTGACAGTTGGTGATTCGTTCGGGCTACATCGCTCTACTGTCTCGCAGTTGACATGGCGCTTTGTTGAGGCCATGGAAGAAAGGGGTCTTCATCACCTGCAATGGCCTTCCACCGATGCAGAAATGATGGAGATAAAGTCCAAATTCGAAAAGATTCAAGGACTTCCTAACTGCTGCGGTGTCATAGAAACTACACATGTTACAATGTGTTTGCCTTCTGCTGACCCTGCAAGTAAGGTGTGGCTCGATCATGAGAAGAATCACAGCATGGTCCTGCAGGCGATTGTTGACCCTGAAATGAGGTTCAGGGACATCGTCACCGGTTGGCCAGGTAAAATCGATGACTGGTTGATGTTTCAGAGTTCGAATTTCAATAAACTATGTGTCAAAGGAGAGAGATTGAATGGAGAAAAGTTTGAGGTCTGTAAGGGATCAGAAATAAGGGAATACATAATTGGAGACTTAGGCTATCCTTTGTTACCGTATCTTGTTATACCTTACAAGGGGAAAGAACTACCAGAAACTAGTGTGGAGTTCAATAAAAGGCATTCGGCGACTCGGCTGGTCGCTAGCAGGGCATTGGCAAGGCTGAAAGAAATGTGGAAGATCATCCAAGGGGTGATGTGGAGACCTGACAAACATAAGTTGCCAAGGATCATCCTGGTTTGCTGCTTGCTTCACAACATAATTGTTGACTTGGAAGATGATGATGCGCTGGACGAAATGCCTTTGTCTTATGACCATGATCCGGGTTATCGACAGCGGATTTGCGGATCTTTTGACGTTGATGGTGTCCACCTGAGAGATAAACTTTCTCTCTACTTGACTGGGAAAATGTCACCTTAATTTCTGATTCTTGGCATAGAAAAGGATTACAATAGGATATTTGGCAGACGATCATTTCATTGAAGTTGGTTTTCTCTTGTTTGTTTGATTTAAAATTGTACAAGTTAACACAACATAATATCAGTGCATTTTTCAAGCATGCTCCCCAAAGTATAAAGAGGTGGTTAAGATGAGCGTCATTAATACCAATATAATAATGTTATTATTCTTTAAAATTAGAGCATATTAATGCCTACATTATTCACTTTTTTATTATTATTCTAGGACCTCTTTAACTTTACATCCATAGTGATTTTTAAATTAAATAAAATTTCAAACTCCAAATTTCTAAATTTTAAAACAGAGTAATCAATTAGGTACCAATTTCTCAGCGCAGTGGGGTGTTAACCTTTTCCCATGCGTAACCGAATCTCGAATATATTTTCTGATTTTCGCATAACTTAAACTTGGTGTTTTGATAAAAATAAAATGTTTTATTAAAATAACCCGATTTTTATGGTGTTCCAATCGCACCTTAAATGGTTGGTAGCGACTCCCAACATTTCATAAAATCATTTCAAAAAAAACTCCTAAGTCGTACTCGTTTTTCTCCCCACCTGGGCACAACACGATGTAGACACATTCAATACGTGCTCTACCGGGAGGACTTGATAAAAGTTGTTTTTGTGATATCTAAGGAAGAACTCAAGAGTAAAAGAGATGAATTATATAAAATTTCGGTGTTACTTATGGCCAGACATTTACATAGGGACGAACACATGATTTTATTTTAGGAAGGATAAACTATTAAAATTTTAAGAATGGACAAACATATAAAATTTAGGAGATGAAAATATATTTTCAATATAAAATATATAATAATTTTAAATTTTAAGGGGATGGATATACTTACTCGTCCTCTTCATCTATCTCTGCCTTCACCTGAGCTGGTGGTAGAGTGAAAGATTGGCTAATGAGCTAGCGAGCTATATTTTTTGTTTTTCTCTTGTATGGAGTAATAAAGAGGAGAGTTGAACGGTATTATTTTGAGCTTGGGCCAGTGGTGGACCACTCCATTTTGTTGGGCTCCTAGAAGGAAAATTTTCTGCTGGACTGTTGTTGTTGGAAGGTATGTTAGTTGAGAGCATTTGGTGTCAAAATTAGAGCATCTAATTGGGATGGATATGGTTGTGGTTTCAAACTGAAACGTTGAGTTACAATGTCTCCAACACAATTATTAGTAATTAATAAGTACACGTCAAACTTTTCTCCAAACGTAGATTGATGGTATATGATAACCATTGAATATAACATGGCCAAGATTTTCACTTGTTGAGAATTCTGCAGTGTATCGATTGTGATTTTATTTTTAAATAGGTTATTTTCCCCATCGTTGGTGTGAAATCACCCCATCCAAGTCAACATGGAGATAGAGGAACATATTTTATGCATGACATGTTTGCTGTTTCATGAGAAGTCCGGCCCATTCCAAGATTCCTTGTTTGCACAATTTTCTATCACGACCTGCAGGTTCTGTGGGTGCACATTACTCCGCTGAGCTTCACCTTAAAGAACCAAAACCATATCGATTTGTGACCCTGACACCATTTTGTTTGATCTGATCTGAGTGGAAATGAATTGGGATGTGTGCAAATTATATGTTTGACAGGTGAGGTAGGACTTCTGTTCACACGTTGTAAACACGCAACCAAGTAGTAACTACTTGGCTGAACTCGCTCTTATTATCAATATATATTCCATAACCATGCATTGTAACAGACAAAAAAAAGTAATAGTACTAAATTATCAAAGGAGGGATTGATTTACTTGGCTGAACTCGCTCTTATTATCCTATATCATTTGGATTCGAGTGAATGGAGAAACTAAAATAATCCAACACTCCAACCTCAAATAATGAATTAAATTAAGGATTTCCTTGCTTTTGGAAAAAGAATGACTCGGCTTTAAATTAGAAGGTTATTTTAATTAGTGAGTGAATGGAAGAGAGGAGGAAAAGAGCGTATGTGAACCCTCCTGGTAATAAAGTATATATTCCCTTGGGGATGATTGATGCCCAACAAAATAAAATACTATAAAAATTGTTGTCCAGCAGCTCAAAATAATAATCTTTGCCTTTCCTGATTCGAAAACTTATAGGCACAACTAATTCTAAAGACCGTTTATATCACCTTTTTGAAATTTATGTTGTAATTCTGGTATGTCCATTTTGATACTTGATTTAGGCAGCCACATACGAACCAAAATTGTGTACGAATCAAATCTAGAGACGGCCCTCTAAATTAGAATTGTTTATACATCGTGTTCTAATCAGGGAATATTTGTTGTTGAAACTGTCCAGGGGCAACGTTCAATAGGTCTTAACCTTCATACGTGTTGCACGGTTTTACTAAAATTAAAGCAAACGATTCTCTACCATGGATGCCTTCTTGCCACCCCTTTTAAACCAACCAAAATTAATTGAAGACGGTATGATGGAGAATCAACAGAATATGTTCTTTTCATATATATTCTTGCTTTATTTCTTTTTCTACCTAGCTGTATACGGAGTTAGTGTAGATTTTCGCAATATAAAAAACGTATAATTATCAATAATAAAGTTTTGACTTAAAACTATTACAATAAAAATAAAATCACACCCATAGATTCAATGACAGATTCATAAATATTTTTCAGGTAGACACATACTTGTTAACAACATAAAATTTTTAAATATGATAAGCATAAATAAAATTTTAGGGTGGACACCTCTCGTAAAATAAGTAATTAATTGAAGAAAACACAAATTTCAGGATGAGTACAAAAAATTTTAGGGTGAGTATCAACATTAAAATAAGTAATTAATCGAAAAAAATTTGAACTTCAGGATAGATACGTATCCACTCTCACCAAGTTACGGCTATGTGGATTCTACAAACTTACAAATAGATTATCATTTTAATTAAAAATTTAATGTCTACATTGCGTTGTATCTTTCCAACTTTGCCATGTTCAGTTTAGCTTTGACATGATTAGAACAACGATTAGTAGACCTTTTCATTCCTTGCCGTGCCTTAGTAGCACATCAACGGCCCTCCTAATTCTACCTACGGAATATACGACTCTTTCTTTTGTAGAGGTTACTTTTAGTTAGTGGGATACTTTTAATTATTGTAACAAGTCAAGTCCTGTCCAATTGACAATGTCAATTTTTCTCCCAAACGGAAATATTCTTGAAAACTATAATCAATTTTGCTACACTACCATTCTTATTATAAAGTTCCGACTTAAACATTATAATTTTTTAAATGTAGTTACATATATCGTATTATATATTTTTCATTACTATAAATATTTAAAATTAATATAAACTATTAGATATATTATTTTTAAAATAAAAAAATCAATTCATTCATTCATTTCATAAAAATAATCCAACAAACTTAATCAAGCAATCGAAAAAAATGAAAGATTTAATATAACCTTTTTCATTTTAAGTAGTGAAAAACAACCAACATCAACATAAATAAAAACAAAATATTAATTTATAATATGTTAAAAAGTAATTTTGTTACAATTTAAATATGATATAATAAATTTAAAAAATTAATAAGATGTATACTAAATATATCATACCATATATAAATGTAAAGTTATCCATTTACATACAAAACACAACAGCGGACTCTTGGATGGAGGCGCCATCAGCGCTGCAACTTTTGAAAAAGTAACGGCCAAAAGTTCACCTCGTTGGTTTCCGTACCACTTTGTCTGTTTTCAACTCTTGTTTAGTTGTGTGTTTTGTTTGTCTGTTTGTTCTCTACTGTGTATTTGGTGTTTATACGTGCCTCGTCAAAGGTTTTTGCCAACCGAACTATTAACACGTGTACATAGACTTTTTTTTTTATAAATAAATCATTTTCTTATATTTTAAGTCATTAGAAAAAATATCAAATATGTTAATAGAGGGAGAAAATTAAATTCAAAGAAAACAATAGGGTATCGACTTTAGACTATTATCGTAACAACAAATCGTGAATAAAACTCGAATAAGATAAATATTAAATTTATAAATAATAAAAATAATAAAATAAAATAAAAAACACTAAAAAAATGGACGAACGATGGAAATCGAACATGCACATGGTGGTTTCACAATCCATTGCTTTGATTCACTTGGCTACATTGCCTCTCTACTATACTCTTTCCGCTATAGTATTTTATTTTGATTTATTTAAATATTTGAAATACAAATTTCAAAGATTTCAATTTTTATCATGCATCATTATTTTTTTTTATTATATTTCTGAGATACAATATATAGTCTTATTTATGAGATACAATATATAGAAAATTTCAATCTCTATCTTTTATTTTTACTCTAAAATAAAAGTTTTACAAAAGATTAGTAGTTTTTATTTCTTATGGTAATAAGAAATCGCTTATGAAAAAATCATTTAATCATAGGAGTTACAAAAAGAAAATACAGATTGATATACATATGATATATAGATCCATATGATTCCTATATTCCATTAAGAATATCATTTCGATATGATAATAAAAATGGGTTACCCGAGAACTAGTTGGATGGAGTAGATAATTTCTTTCTTAAAATGAAATTGAAATTTAATGAAATTTCATTAAATTTTATTAATCATTAATTTATTAATCATTAAATAGTTATAGTAAAAGAATAAAAAATCCCTCCCCAAACTGTGCTTGTTTTTTCATTGCACACGGCTTTTTTTATGTATACATCTAAAACCCTATTTATTCCCTAATTTAATATCATGGATCAAAGAAAATAATTTAAATTTAAAATCGGCAGGGTATGCCCTTTTTTTCGAAACGAAATACGAAAAAAATTTATCATAAAACTCTTTGGATCATCTGTCAGTTGCTCAACTTCTTTAGAATGGTAAAAAGAAAAGATAACCAATTAATCTTTTTTTAATTAATAAACATCTATTCCATTTCCATTCCATTCTCTCTTTATTTCTAATTGTTTTCAATAAAAATCTCGGTATCCAGTAAAAGAATCAAATCCATGAAATAAAGAATTCAAAAATCATAGGACCTGTCTTTCAATTATTTCAGATTGATTGAAATCAACACAAATTAAATAGATCAAGCGAAGAAATAAAGTTGAGATACTATGTACAGTACATATATTTAATTG